GAAGGGATGGGGCGGGAGACACGGGGGGGAGGGGCGGGGGCGAGTCGATCTAGGTCTCCTTTCAAAACCGACCTGGTTTCGATTTGCAGTCGAAGGAAGCTGGGAGGGAGGGCTGTCTACCCCACCCCCTGGAGCAGCGGGGTTGTGCGTACCTATGTGTAACGGAAAAGCAAAGCAATCCAGATGTGAGGGTGGGGACCTGGCCCCCTCCTGAGGATTCTCCCCATCCTGCACTCCCTTCCTTCCTTGTGTCCCTCCTCTCGGAGTTAGTCTTGATGATAAACAGAAACCAAGTCCGGCTGGAGGGGCTGTAGACCTCTGGACCCCTTCCCCTCCCTTCCCTGGCCCTGCTCGCTCTCCCCAGACCCTGCCTGACCTTGGCTGGAAGCTGGCCCGGCAGAATCTGGGGCTAGGACCCACCATCAATTGTTCTAAGAATGTAGCCGGAGGCTGGTGGAGAAGTGTCTCATTGCTCCCTGGCTACCCTCAGCCTTCCGTGGAGGAGCAGGCCATGCCCGTCATCTCCGCCTCTTGACCTTGGGGTAGGTTAGGCCCCAGTCCCCCATTGCAGCTCTGAGCTCCTGAGAAAGTGCTCATGGGAAGGTCCCAGTGAAGCCAAGAAGCCCTGCACAGCTGAGCTGACATAGGATGTGGGCATGGGTACTGCGCATAAACCCATCTGCACTGGCTCTGGTGTGGACTCCAGGTCCTCTGCCTCCCTGTCCCTGCCCAACTGCCCCCACAATTGGCTTCCAAGGATGCGCATCCACCAGGGGACTTCGCTGGGGTCCGCCCGGGACCAAGATGTCTTCCTCCCTCCCCCTGTGGCTCTGATATAGGAGCTCACAGACCATCAGGGCCAGAAGTGACCCTCGGATTTGAGAACTCAACCTTTTTGATGCACAGATGGACAAACTGAGGCCTGAAGAAAGGGTGTGCATGAGTCAGGGACAGCCTGTGTTCCAGGCTTTTGATCTTTCACCTCATGGGGCCAGGAAAGTGGATTGTAGGGAACTTGCTCGGAACCCCCAAAAGTGAACTGCTTTCTGTGGCAGAACCAGGCAGCTGGGCGTGTGGGGGTGGGGGAGCTGGAGGGAGGAGCTGTCGTTTTTACAAATGAATCCCTTGGCTTCTTCCCGTAGTATATGCTAATGTGGTGGGGGGGTGAGGGGGGATAGCACAACCCTGTCCTTAAGAGAATTGTTGGCACTGGATGGGTGTCAGGGTCCTGTCTTCCGCACTCCTTGCCTTTCCTTTGTTTGGTCTCAGACACCAGAGTGGAGAGTTTGTCTCTTTTACTGACTTACCCCGATAGAACGAAAACCAGACACACACTGTCCTTACAGTAGAGGTATAGCAGTTCTCTACTGGATTTGATGTTTTGGGCCCACTCTTGAGTTCGTGATTGGCGTGTGAGAGAGAGCCTGGGGTCCTCTTTTTACACCCACTCTGCGTCCACCCCCGCCTCAGGGAAAGGCTTGGCCTCAAGTGAGTCCAGCTGGCACCCTGTGAGCTGCCGGTGTGGGACGCCTGGAGGGAGGCCCTGGGCCTCCAGGATCGAGACCAGGGCAGATCCAGCGGCGACTTGCTGTAGCTGGTGTAGAGGCCGGCAGCTGTCAGGAGGAACTTGGAGGAGTCTGCCCCGAGAGCTGACGGCGCCGACGGCGGGGAGAGGCCGCCGCCGGGCCTGCCTCCGCGGCCCGATGTGCGTCACCGCTGGCCCGGCGCCGTCCCCGCAGCCAGAGAGGC